TTCAATTTTGATTACTTTCATCTTGGTTATTATGATTATTATTATTACTAACTAGGGGGTTAGTGTTCTTTACAGGTCAGTTATTATTAGATTGACCAAAATGGGTATTAGTCAGACTATTTGTTTTATTTAGTAGCCTATTTCACCTGGGCCCTACCATTATTATTATTAGAAGTTCTTTTTAACCACATAGAACATTCTCTTTCTATATATCCATAATCTCTATACTTGAAACAACTAGTATTAGTATTAGTAGAATGCATTGGTACAGGGTTAGACTATAGTGAATTAGACAAAGAATTATTTATCAGATTGTTTTCATATTCTGTGCCATTTCAGAGACGGCTTTTTTAATTTTACTCATTTCTTTATTTGCAGATCATCTCTACTAAGATAACTTCTTTTCAATAAATACAAGCTTAATGGTCTTCTCTAGAATAGGTGGTTTTGGCGGCTTTAGCTTTTTTTTTTTTTTTCAAAATGCATCTAAAGCGTACTTTATTTATTCTTTATAAAAACTAGATTACATATTTACATGTTGAGATTATTTACATATTGAGATTAATATATTTAAGAATATTAGTTTTTTCTGATTTAGAAAGAACTTTTTTGTTGAGTAGTTTGTGTAAAAGATTGATTTCGTGCTTGATTTTTATAGATATAATCCTTGCTATTGCTTCTTGAGAAATCATATTATCACCCACCTGGCTTGGGTATACCAGCACCAGATTTCGTAGATAGCTGTAATATGTAGCCAGATAGCTGGTTTTCTTTTTTTTGTGTCTGCAATGTTAGTTGCTTGAGTAATGTCTTCAAGAGTTCTAGAGGTAGCATCTTCGTCTGTATTAGTCAATGCTTTGTATGTTGTTTCCCAAATTACTTTGTTTAGCAAGCATTTGAGAGCGAAATGTTCTATCGTTTGAGTGATATAGGGACAGTTAACAGTCTCCTAAATTGGTTTGGTCAATATGGATAAGTCTGTATCCAAGAAGAAGAGCTCTGTGTGTTAGTCTCCAGAATATATCCTTCTTTTTGTTTAGCAGCCACTTTGTTTTCAGCCATTTGAATGATGAGTGGTGCTTCTCTAAAGAATTTGTAGTAGTTGAGCTTGGTGGGGTGTAGAAGTTTTTTAGTACTCCTTTAACTGTGAATAAATTGCCATCGATGTTGTTTATTTTGATTTGTTCTGGTAACCAAGGCCATGCATGGTCGGTGAGTATTTT